CACAATCACTCCTAAAACACACACATGCACATCACCCTCACACACAGCACTTTCTCACACACACACACACACACACACACACAGCTCCCTCTCACACACATTACCTTCACACACACAGAACCCTTTCACACACACATGACCTCACACAGAGCATCCTCACACACACACAACACCCTCACAGACAACACTTGCATACACACTACACTACACACTACACCCCCCCACACACACACACACACACTGCACCCCTCACACATACACACAGATCCCCCAATACACGGCACCACACACACACACACACACAATACTTCCAAACATATAAATATATATACATACACACTACAGCACCCCTAAACACATTACATTCCAGACACACACTATATACACACACACACACACTCACTATATCTCCTTTACACATTGTGGGTCCTTCAAACACACACTAGACCCCTACACACACACACTGCACCACCTACATACACACACACACTCAGTGGTGTATCCTGGTTTTGTGCTGCCCTAGGCAGGACAAAACTCAGGTACCCCCCACCCCCGGGCCACCCCCACCTAACCCTTCCCCCCCGCCCCACCTTCTAAATACACACAAACACACACACACACAGTCAGACACAAACACACAATCACACACAAACACACACACCACACAGTCAGACACAAACACACACACAGTCAGACACACACACACACAGTCAGACACAAAGACACACAGTCAGACACACACACACACACAGTCAGACACAAACACACACAGTCAGACACACAAACACACAGTCAGACACACACACACACACACACACAATCACTCACATTAACACTTTTTTTATTTAACCCCCCCTTCCTTACCTTTGGGAATGCTGGGGGGAGGGGGGATTCTCTCTTTCTCCCTGGTGGTCCAGTGGCTGCCGGTCGGGCTGATGGGCTGGCTGCTGGCGAGGGAGCACTTCCTCTGAGCTGTCTGCTCAGCTCCCTCGCGCGCCGCAGAGTGAGGCTGGGAGCCGGAATATGACGTCATCGACCCGGCTCCCAGCCTCACTCTGCGGCGCGCGAGGGAGCTGAGCAGTCAGCTCGGAGGAAGTGCTCCCTCGCCAGCCGCCTGCCCGCCCAGCATGACTGTTAGCCGCGAGGCTAACTAGGCATTTGCCCTGGGCATTTGGGGGCGGCGTTTTTTGCCGCCCCCTGAAAAATGCCGCCCAAGGCAAATGCCTTGTTTGCCTCGCGGCTAATACGTCCCTGCACACACTATATTCCTGACATACACACTCTGGATCCCCTATACACACACACTAGATTCCTTGTAAGCAAACACATACTACATTCCCTAAGCACACACTCTCTACAACCCCTACAAAAACTACATCACCTATACACACACACTATAGTATGCACACACTTGCTACATTCCCTATACACACTCTCTACAGCCCCTAGCCACACATGCATTACATTACACCACAAACACAACACGACTAAAACCGACCTTATTACACAATACCACACCACAATCAGCTCACTCTACACACACGCAATCCCACACGCAGGCTCCAAACACATGCACAATACTCTTTTTATCTCCTGGTATTTATAGAGACACCAGAGACAGGTTGCAAGCAAAAACAGCACAAGCATGTTATTAAATTTGCTTGCACTGTGCAGAACAAATCAGGGCCTTTCTCATGCTAGAGCTCTTCAGCAGAGCTCTGCGCTGAAATTTCATCTCAATTCAAGCATATCATAAAACAAAGTAGAGGCTCCTATGTCTATTGGATAAGCCTGAGGTTGACAAAAGACACCAGTGTTGTATGCATACACAAGAGTACAGTAAATACAGTAAAAGTCACACTAATGCATTTCGTGTTATTACATAGGCTTTATCAAAGTGTTTACAGAGACCTGGACATGAGCTTCTTAAATAGCTGAGTAAAATTCAAAATTGACAGTCGCGTGACATTGTGGTTACATGAAGGCGAGTAACTTGTATTAAAATTGACACTGGACAATTATATAGGCAATATATCTTGAGATGACATAGTAAGTATATGTAAAGTTTAAAAAAAAGTTTATAAAGGCTAAGAAGATAAAATACATAGAAGGAATGTTAAGGGGTGTGATCTATCTATGTAATAAGACAAAATGCGTTAGTGTGACTTACTGTATTTTTACATACATTCAGAATAAAGCAGCATCGTTTTAATCCTTCATTGCTTTGTTCCTGATATTTGAACATTATACCCTCTGGTGGGTATTTTACAATTTACGCTGTGAAGACCGAGCAAAATCCTATTTTTGCTCCACACTTGTGAGTAAATTTCGAACAATTTTATTCACCTTTCCTATTACAGTGCGCACTATAATTTGTTTCCTTTTTTTTTTTATATTGTCACGGTGAGGAGTATTACTACAAGATATATGCACAGAGTGGGGATTATACCATTCCATGCTATCTGTTGAGAGTCATTTACGGGCTCCATGCTAAATACAGCACTGTATATACCATAGATTTAAGGGCACCCCCTTGCTTCAAGTTGCATTAATAGAAAAAAAATTATGAAAATATTTGCTGCCTGGGTTCCCCACTGCTGAACAATATATATAATTAACCAAATAAGAAGGCAGGCACTTACAGGACTTTTAACTCACAAACTTGAATAACTTTTCGTCCGTGTTTACATCCATGTACATCCATCAAGTTTGAGAAAGGACCAGGTCAACATGTGGTCAAAAGAACACTCAATGAAAGTGAAATAGGCTATCCTTATGCAGCAAAAAATCCATCAGGGAGATAGCAGGAACATTAGAAGTGGTCAATTCAACAGTCTAGTACATTCTGAGGAAAAAAAGAACACACTGGTGAGTTCTGCAACACAAAAAGGCTTGGATTTTCACAAAAACCAACAGTGGTGGATGATCATAGGATCCTTTCCATGGTAAAGAAATCCCCTTCACAGCATTCAGTGAAGAACACTTACAAGAGGTAGGCATATCATTATCCAAGTCTACCATAAAGAGAAGACTTCATGAGGGCAAATACAGAGGGTTCACCACAACTTGCAAACCATACATAAGCCTCAAGAATAGAAAGGCCAGATTAGACTTTGCCCAAACATTAAAAAAAAAGAAAAAAAAGGATAACCCAGTTCTGGAACACCATTCTTTGGCAGATGAAACTAAAGATCAACCTGCACCAGAATGATTGGAAGAAAAAAGTATGGAGAAGAATTGAAACGACTATGTTCAGAGACATACCACATCATCTGTAAAAAATGATGGGACACTGTGATGGCATGGGCATGCATGGTTTTCAAAGGCACTGGTTTACTGGTGTTTATTGATAATGTGACAGAAGACAGAAGCAGCTGGATATTGTAACGACATGAAGGGGTTCTGCCCTGGAACAACACTGTCCCTTTAAATGTGGGAACCAATACAGCATAGAAACAAATGCCAAGACACAAATGAATAGGTTAAATCAAGATATATATTACAGAGAACCAAAAGACAAAACAATATATATACAATGCCACAAAATATATACAATAAATCAGGATAAGCATGAATAGTGCAGGCAACGTATACTGAAGCAGTCCTTTGGTATAAGGGCAGGATTGTGCAGTTACCACAAGTAGTAGGTAGGGCACAAATCCAGAGTCACAAGACTAATATACTGACACCAGGAATCATGGTCAGAAGCAGAATAAATGAACAAGGCTGCAGTGTCAGGATCACTGGTGATAAGGCAGAGAACACGGAACCAGAACACAGGATCGGAGGGCACAGGAACGAAGGACCAGGAGGACACAGTAACGCAGGATCAGGAGGACACAGGACAAAGACCAGGAGAACACAGGTACAAAGACCAGGAAGCGCAGGACACAGGACCAAGGAACAGTATGCAGGATCAAGGAGCCAGGAGCCAGAATCACAGGAAACCAGGAACCAGGGAAACAAGAGACAAGAGACAATGATCTGGCAGGGAGTGAGGGGAGAAACCAGAATATATAGGTGCTAAACAAGTGCCAGGTGAAGTGCTTAACGAAAAGAAAAGAGAATAAAATATATAGTGCTCTCTATGGATTCTTTAAGCCTCTTCTGAAAATAGGCAATATAGGTAGTCAGGTGAAAGAAAAGAAAAGAAAAATGGCAATAAAGTATTTTATACACATATACATGCACACACATACACTGTCTAGGTGTATTTTACTATTAATATATATATAATTAGACTGATAATGATTAAATATATATATATATATATAATTATTGTTATATATATATGTTTATATATAATATAAAAAAATTAAATATGTAAATACGTAAAAAAATAAAATTAAAAAATAATTTAAAAAATTATTAAAAAATATATAGATGTGTTATTTCGTTGTAACTGTATTGTGATATTAATATATATATATTTATATCAAAATACACGTAGAACGAAATAATATATATATCTACATACATAAATATATACGTATATATCACTATATATATACCTATATATAAATAAAAATATTTTAAAAAATTATATATATATATATACACATATAGATTCACATACGTATATGTATACATATATTAATTCTACATATATATTTATGTAATATTTTTACATAATTAGGTATCTTAATTAATTACAATTAGCGGGACCTGCCTGATAAACCATGCCGAAAGTAAGGGAATTTAATTTGCTAACACTATATTTAACCCTATAACTTTCCAAGACACCATAAAACCTGTACATGGGGGTTACTGTTCTACTCGGGAGACTTCGCTGAACACAAATATTAGTGTTTCAAAACAGTAAAATGTATTACAACGATGATATCGCCATTTTTAAGGCACAAACAGCAGTTACACGGACGATATTATTGCTGTGATACTTTTTACTGTTTTGAAACACAAATATTTGTGTTCAGCGAAGTCTCCCGAGTACAACAGTACCCCTCATGTACAGGTTTTATGGTGTTTTCAAAAGTTACAGCGTCAAATATAAGGCTTGCGTTTCATTCTTTTCACATTAAAGTTCGCCAGACCGCACCATAGTTGGTGCTCAGGAGAAATTGTACGGATAATCAAGTTTTTCACACCTGTTCTTGGATTTTCTCCTGGATTTGCTACCACGTTGTACAGGAGTTCCATGTTATATGGAGACACGCTCTTCCTTATATTCTTATGTGTAAGTGCGACCAATAAATGTGATTTTGTATTTTTTATAACAAACTTCACTATATCTGATTTCCTTTATTTACATATATTCCATCGGATGACATTTCAAGTTCATATTCATCATACATCATATTACCCCTGAGAGGGTGAGAAGCCTGATTTCATGTTTGTTTGTGAGTGTACTCATTACCACATTTATCACACACTCTATTCAATACTGTATTACGCTATGTCAGCCTTTTAATACTTTACACAGATCATATTAATGGATATTTACCTGATTTCAGATTATTTAACTTGTTTATATATATTTTTACGTATTTTGGGTGTTTTTCACTCAATGTTTTGGTTTTACATTAAAAAGCCTGCAGGGGCATTCTATAGAAACCAGAACAACTACAGTGAGCTTCAGCTGTTCTGGTTACTATAATGTCCCTTTAAGGCAGAAAGACCCATGAAGAAACAACTGAACACAGCTGCAGTAATGTCCATGCGTTTAAGATTTCAAGCAATCATTGCCTGCAAAGGATTCTCAACAAAGTATTAAAATTTATCATTTTATTTATGATTGTGTAAGTGTGTCCATTTACATTTAAGCCCTGGAAATAAGCGGACTGTGTATGAAAATAGATGCAATTCCTAAATGTTTCAAATAATATTTTTGTTCAACCTTTTGAATTAAAACTGAAATTCTGCACTTACATTGCATTCCAGTTGTTTCATTTCAAATCCATTGTGGTGGTGTACAGAGCCAAGATTATGAAAATTGTGTCAGTGTCCAAATATGTCCAGTTCAAACTGTAATTGAGTGGAATGTTTGCAATATTATAAAGGAAGAAGCAACAGCTTTTTGTTAATTAATGCAAGTTGTGAAGGAGAAAAATGTATCAAGTTATTGCCACTGGGTTAAAAAAACCTGAGCTATCTGTGGTTAAACTAAACAGATGTATTTAGGAAGATATGAAACTTGGTCTTTTGAATATTATATTTTAGCTGGCATTGGATCATGAAAAATAGAAAGCATTAAGATATCATGAAACTCTCTGCTCAATCGCTTCCAAGAAGGACTATGGGGACGGTTAAATGTGCATGTCTTTGGCAATAGATGATAGCTGAAGTTAAAATAGTTCTTAAGCTTCCTTAGGAAAACTTTATAAGGAGAGAAGACAAGGTGACATAGATGACATAAGGTGACATAAGATGATTAGGGCACTCCTGCTGAGAGGCATGAGTGATTATTGATTATCAAGGAGGTACTGCCACGTGAGAAAGAAAAATAATGCAGAGGATTAGAAGACGTTTGAATTGAAACCAGAAGTACTGGCCTATTCCATGGATATTAAGATGATGAAGGAAGAGTATGGTTAAAAGGACACTATAGTCACCAGAACAAATACAGCTTATTGCATATGTTCTGGTGAGTATAAACATTCCCTTCAGGCTTTTTGCTGTAAACACTGTATTTTCAGAGAAAATACAGTGTTTACATTACAGCCTAGTGATAACTCCACTGGCCACTGCTTAGATGGCTGCTAAAGCTGCTACCTTGGGCAGTGCTGCAGAGTAAGAAACACTACCATTCAGTGTCTCCACCCTCTGCATGCAGACACTGAACGTTCCTCATAGAGATGCATTGATTCAATTCATCGCTATGAGGAGATGCTGATTGGCCAGAGCAGTGTTTGACTTGTGGCTCTGCCCCTGATTTGCATCCTTGACAATCTCAGCCGATCCTATGTGGAAGCATTGTCAGAGAATCACTTCTGATGATGTCAGCAGACAAAGGCAGTTCAGGGGCAGAGCCGGCAGCTTCAGACTCGAATACATGTAAGATTTTACTATATATAGGGTGGCAAGAGAGGGTCAGGGGGGCTAGATTGTGGTTTTAAAGGGATTCCCTAGCGCCAGGAAAACAAACCCCTTTTCCTGGCACTGTAGAATCCTGGAGATCCCCCTCCCTCCCGCCCCCATCTGATGTTAAAACCCCTTCAGTCACTTACCTGAATCCAGCACCGATGTCCCTTGGCGCTGGGTCAGGCTTTTCCCAAACTCGCATTAGGATCTCCCCAAAGGAAGGCATTATGCATAGCGTGAGGACGTCCAGCATTGTTTAGATGACCAAATGAACCCAGAAGTCCCTGTAGTGGCTGTCTGGTATGTCAGGGTATCTCCACTGGCAGACATTTTTGTGTAAGATAGAAATTAAAAATGTATACTGTAAGTCACCATTTAGCATATGTGACCTCCATTTTGTAACAGCTGGAAAAACAGACACATTTGTATTTCTGTAATTCTATTCATTAGCAAAGGAATGCTACTAGCGTAAACATTGAGTAGAGATAAGACCTTATGTCTGCAGCAAGGGGGGTAGAAAAACAGCCCACAAACACACACGCAGATATATATATATGCACATATAAACTAACTAGAATTAAAGTTAATCATATATAAATAGTACTATGTTTATAATATTGAATATTAATGGATAGAATATCTATGAGGAAAGTCATTATTATTATAAACTAATATTAGCTGAATGTGTGTAAAAGAAATGTATATAACACATGTGTCACATTACTAAGTGCTACACGTACTTTCACAAAAAAAAAAAGAGACACAGGATTACAAGAAACAGATAACGCTAAAAGTAATTCATTTTACTTTTTAAAGAATTGAAAGAGTTAAAGAATTGATACAGAGCCCCATTATTAGAGAAGGTGAAGAAGGGTTCAGTGGTGTCAAAATCCATTTTTATGGCCCAAAACCAAGATGGTCAGACTAAGATAATTATTTGAAGAATGACAGGTTTTTTAAGGATGGGTACCATAAAGATTAGGATTTGTGATGTCAAATGCATCATGAAATTCAGTTAACCCCTTATACAAAGTGATAGTTGAAATTCCTGACGAGATTTCTTGTGATGTTACTATGCCATCTATTGACCAAAGTCTAGATTATAGCCTGTAGGGAAGACACATCTGCCTTATTCTATTGGCCACTTTAAGCTAGTGACGTAAGGAAAGCTTCTCCTTTAAAAATTAAGGACAAAGGACAGAGGAAGAGATCAGAGCAAAAAAGCTGACACCTAACTTTCGGTATCTCTTCCAACTAATTCTGAGACTCTGAAACACTTGTCTCTCCAGCTGAAAACTTTTCTATTTTTGACAATTCTCCTCCCATACTTGCATTGACAATTCTTGGGATATATCTCCAAGCTAAGGAAATTCTACCAATAAAGCTGGTAAATATGCTGGTTTTATTTCATTTAATGTAATTTAAATTAATTAATTTTACTCAAAGCAGAAATATACCTGGATAAAGGTTGGTCGGTTTTCAGCTAGTATAAAATCATAATTAGCTAATGAAATATACTGTTCCAAATACTTTACTGCAGAGGGAATAAGGGAATAATATATTTACTGGTAATTTGACAAGTTTAGCATACTTTTATGCAGAGATATGACTTATCTGAATTTAGAGATAGTAATCTTTATTCAGGAAAGATGAATCTTCTGCAGATGTAAAATCTGGTTAGAATTATTCTTATTGGTTATTGGATGAGAAGGAATGGTTAACTGATCTGGTATGAGAATTATTGTATTTGTCATTGCAATATAAAAGGTATTTTTCCTGTGAGAATTGTGGCCAACAGTGAGTAAATCTGCTGAAATTTGCAAATATATGGAGATGTTGCTATTTAGCTATCTGTAATTGTGTTAAACTGATGCTTTATTGTATACATATGTTATACCTAAATATACAATGATTATTGTCATGCATGTTACATATTATTATTATTATGATTATGATTAATTATTGTCACAATACATTATTTAAAAAATAATAATGTGTGATTAATGTGTAAAATACAAATTCTCTAATAAAATGTACTCTAGGGTCTATACGAATTAAAATAGTGGGTAGCTCTTAGCTTTAACTAAATCAAGGGGAACAGTGCCAATATATAAATTTTTGATATAATAAAAATTATTAAATAAATTTGTATAATTTTTATGAAATATTATTTGTAATATTTATCACCCCACTTTATAAAAACTGCAATAATTACACTTGCAAGGTTAAGGGTGATGGGAGTTGGCACCCAAACCACTTCAATGAGATGAAGTGGTCTGGGTGCCTACACTGTTCCTTTAACACTATAGGATCAGGAATACATGTTTGTGTTCCTAACCCTATAGTGTTCCTTTAACCATTTTAAATAGAGTAAATGCATTAGACACTGTAACTGCTTCATCTTGTTGTTTTAACACTAAACAAGAGTCCCCTGCAGCCTAACCCTTTTTTTGTGCCGTATGGACTAATAAGGAAAAAATAGCCTGAGCAGTAATGGGTGGCTGTGATTATGTGAGTATGTCAACGGACCGCTTTAAACCTATAACAGTGCCCATTGCAGATATAAATTGGTATGGCTAGAAGGTGTGTAATCTCTTCCTTAAAATGCAAAGAAAATAAAAAATAGAACCAAAAAACAAATATAACTCTAAACAAGAAGCTGCCACCCTCTAGGTACACTCTAAAAACCTATAGTAAACATAAATAAAAAAGGAAGAGAAGGTGGAATAAAATCCCACCTAATGGGGGCGCTAAGCATTAGAGAAAATAATGGTCTTATAGGGGACTATAGACACTCAAGAGTAAATACTCTATGGAGACTTGAAAAATGTAAATAGTTTAAAAATACAATTTATTTTGCATCACAGTGCAATTAATTCATAAAAAAATATATATATATAAAAAAATATAATAAATGGTAAAGTGCATAAACATCCAATGCAAAGATAATAACAATGTACAGTCCTATTATGAGACCTGGGAAAAAAAGCCCGGCATCAACCACTAAACAAAACAGTGATAAGTAAAAAGATGAACTGAACAGCCCTTGGTCGCGACTTCCAGGGCTGAAAGATACTTGCAAACTGGATCGGTAGTGGTGATATTACGGTCTCTGGACTTAGGTTGGATGATAGATAAGGCTCAACGCGTTTCGTCCCGCTTTAT